GCGCGACGGAGCCAGGCAGGGCGCGACGGAGCCAGGCAGGGCGCGACGAGGCCAGGTAGGGCGCGACGGGGCTAGGGCGGCGCGGCGGGGCCCAGGAGGGGCGCGACGGGGCTAGGAGGCGCGACGGGGCCCAGGAGGGGCGCGACGGGGCTAGGGTGGCGCGATGGGGCTAGGGCGGCGCGACAGGGCCCAGGAGGGGCGCGACGGGGCTTGGGCGGCGCGACAGGGCCCAGGAGGGGCGCGACGGGGCTAGGAGGCGCGACGGGGCCCAGGAGGGGCGCGACAGGGCTAGGGTGGCGCGACGGGGCTAGGGTGGCGCGACGTGGCCCAGGAGGGGGGCGACGTGGCTAGGAGGCGCGACGGGGCTAGGAGGCGCGACGTGGCCTAGCTAGGGTACGGGCGGAAGCGGTAGGTGGGGGATGCTAACCTACACGTGATACCATGTCAAAGTGAGAACGAATGATCACTAGAAGTGGAAACCTAGAACAAATACTAGTTGGTTGTACTCACTAGAAGCATACTTCAGTCTAGCCTATAACTTCTACATAGATAATATGTATAAGTTGACAGGCGGGCCAGAACCTTGGAAATCTCTGCTGGCCCCCAGGTCACGCATGGACGGAAACAAGTTCAGTTTCGTTGCAAAGCTGAAATTTCAGGATTCGTTAAGAAAACTTTGCTTAGCAATCAGAGTTGACCCCCCAAAAAATGCTGAAAAAACAGGAAATGCCTTTCGAAAAATCCTGGACAATCAGGACTGGTACCAGCAACAACTCTGTTTTTTTCCTGAATCAGAAAAAATTTCCTGCAATCTAGGGGCCTGCTCCGAGGGCTGACAAATTTGCGAAACGAATCGGGTGACAAATAAGGTTTATGGCAAAATGCAAAGATTTGAGCAGGGCTGACGTTTCAAAAAAAGGCACTCTGAGCTGACCCCCCCAAAAAAAAAAAAAGTCTGAATGGCCTTCAGCCAGAATTTAGGGACTCTGAAATGTCAGAGTCGAGGGATGTGCAACTCTGAAATTCTCAGGATCGCGCAAATATATTCAGGGTTACATTTTATGTTATTAAGAAGAGCTCTTTCTTGTGTATTACATTTTGCTACATTGGACAGGAGCCTACAACTACTACTACCAAGCAATCACTAGCTAACAGGCTCCTAGAACTCCGGCACATCTACAGTAATCTCATCATCACCCCCCTCATTGTCGGACAGGAAAGGGTCGTCGCCTAATGTTGGAGCCGCATCATTCTCATCATCACCCCCATCCTCCTCAGCCCACCCCTCCCCCACATACTCTGGCACCTCCCCCTGTCCTTCATCCGTTGTGTCCCCCGCCACCTCACCCTCTAGGGCCTTCCCCTTGCGTTTTCGTTCCGCTCTTGCGAAGACAACAGATTGTGCTGGCCGTCTCAGCTTCTCTCGCCAGGTCGCTAGGGCTTCGGTCCAATTGATGTCATACTGCAGCAGCGAGATGGCCATCAACTCGGAGAGGCGCGCGTTGCAGAGTGAGCCACGGACCCAGGACTTAATCACATTCTGCCGAGAGAAGCCCCTCTCGCATTCGACGGTTGACAAAGGCAGCACGGCACAGGCCTGCCAGAGGCGCATCAGATTGGGCCAGCGCCTGACACGGGGCACAAAAACAAAGGCGGAAGAAAGGCAGTAGGAAATGCATACAGTGAAGGCGGATAACAAAAAGATGCGGTTGGCAAGGGCGGCGATGTTGTGCACACTTAGCATAGAATGGAAGGTGGTGATTCAGAAACGACAATATGGTTGGACTTGCCTGCTCGAGTCCGTCTTCGTGAGGTAGTTTGCCAGGCCTTGGTGGAAACTCTCCACCTCATGATGATTCTGCATGATCGGCGCCCAAGTTGCGAGCTCCCTCTCCGCTGCCTTCACGTCGAAGCCTGGTAGCTTGTGCTCGAAGATGCCGCTGCATCCAAGCAGATACTCTCTCGTCTTCTTCTCGCGCTGCGCCCGTTGTCTCGGCCACTTCGCCGCCACCCAGAGCTTCGTCGGCGACATCTTGCGCAGATCCAGCATCCGCTCTTGTACGTTGGTCATGGTATCCTTGGCGTGCTTCTGGCACAGCTGCACGCAGTCCTTGTAGCTGCTCCCGTACTGGTGCTTGTCGAGGTGCCGCTCGTGCATCTTGTACGTATGGGTGACGGGGTTCCCCTCCAAGTCGATACCGCGCACCTTCACCCGCTTCGTTCCGCCGCGCCCGTACACCGTGAGGAACGCCGAGAGCCAGGTGTTTTCGGCGCCGACACCGAAAATCTCCCCGAAGTCGACATAGCGGTGCCGCAGATCCCCCAGTGTCGCGTCGATGTCCGTTGCCACCTCTGTGACATCGACCTGCGGTGTGAGGGGGGGGGGACACAGAGGAGGGAAAGACATGAGTACTTGCACCAGAGGAGAACACCATGCTTGCAAACATGAGCATCTTACCTCTCGCTTCTGAAACTTGAGGTTGAGGTCGTTCATGAGTGCCAGCATGTCGGCCAGGTAGAAGAGGCAAAACTGAAACTTATACGAAATCATAACCTCATACAGGGGATGCTCATACTCATACAGCAGAACAATCGCAGCACCCAACACTTTACACAGGCGTTGGATTGCCTCTCCCCTGGACAACCATCGAACTTGATGGATGCCTTGAACCTCAAGGTTGGTGCTGTGAATCGCCCGCTGCAGATGCTTGAAACGACTGCTCCATACGCTCGACCGGCCGAGAAGGTCCGCAAGGGTGCGAGTGACTTTGTCGACCATGTCGAGGTCTGGACATGAAGCGGCAGCATCCTTCACAGCAAGTGCTTCTCTGCATGTACCGACATGGGTAGTGGTTAGCACACAGAAACATAAAAAGCATAAACAGACAGCAAGGAATACTTAAACAAACCTGTGGGCGATGCAGTGGGAGGAAAAAAGGTGCGGGATGATGTCTCGCAGTCGCGCCACAAGCCCGTTGTCTCGGCCGACCATCACCGACGCGCCGTCTGTGCTGATGCCAACGATGCGTTGAAGGTCGATGCCGGACGACTCCAGGTGGGCTAAGAGAGTGGCCATAAGAGAAGCGGTGTCGCACTTGTCAACGTTTAGCAGGGCTAGGAATTCGGTGACGACTCGACGCAGCCGCATGAATGTGATGTAGACGATCAAGTGCTTTCCCCGCGTGCGGTCGGTGCTTTCGTCGCATGAGATGCCGAGGTAAGGTGAGCTCTTGATGTGCTCCATCTGAGTAGCCAGCAGATGCGTAGAGAGACAGTTGACCATCTGCTGGAACCCGTACCTGCAGTGGCATAATCAGAAGTGAGACACTGGTTAATTAGCATTGGAAATGCATTGAAATTTACAAGGTTCATATCAAAATCCAACCATCAACCGGCGAAAGCCAGGTAGCCTTACCTAGTGAGATACACTCCGTACGACTGGAGAGGTATGTCTGGTGTGTCTTGCTCTGCCATGAAACGAAGCAGCCGGGGAAACATGGCGATAGGAGCGTCGTTCTTGCAAAGAAATTCCACGCACCGCAAAAGACGGATGACGCAGCGGCCTTCGACATCGACGGTGGCGAAGCTTGTCATCTTCTGCTGCTTGTCTTCTATTTCCTTTTGAATCTCGAGCTGCCGGCGAACTGCCGCTTCGTGGACTGTCGAGTGTTCATGAATGCGCATCGTCTGTGTCTGGAGATCTCGCCCGCCGTCGCCTGGCCTTGAATACTTCGTCGTTTCTTTGCCGAAGGCTCGGCAAACGCTGCACTTAAGAGCGGGGTAGCCATCTTTAGTACGGGTAAGTACAAGCCATGGGAAATAACGCAGCCAATCATTCTTATACTTAGCCTCCGCGACTAGGTACTTCTGCTCGATCAATTCCTCTGTACTTAGCCTCGGTGGCGGCGGTTCATCAGGGCGGGTGACGGGGGTAGGTGAGCGCGGTGGTGAGGGAGGGCGAATCTGGCCACCATGGTTGATACGCTGCTGTGTATACTTCGTCGTACGTTGTTTCTTCGCCGAAGAGACAGTCGATGCGCAGGGCACACTATAACGAACGGTAGAGGCAGTGGCGCAATCAATAGGATCCACTGGTCCTCTGCTAGAAGATGCTATGGCTGGTGGGAGAACGAAGGGAGCGGGGGCAGGTCTACTAGGCAACGATGGCTCATCGCGTGGGGTCTCGTTTACAACGGTTGTGGCGACAAAAGGCGGAGGAGCCGATGCGGCAACGGGCCGCAAGACGTCTAGGGCGCTCCTTGGCGCAACGACAGGAACCTTACTGCTGCGCGGCTCATCACCGTCAGCTGGAGCATCGTCGTCGCCATCCTTTTCAGGCATGGCGAGAGGAGAAACGACGTGTATGAAATGAAGACAGTGACTACAACTACGCCTGTGTCGAAATGAACAACATGAAGGATTTCCCCTCTAAAACCTGAAGCAGTGCGTTCGAAGCTGGTGGGTAAGGAACAACTGGAGAAGAAGGGGTCCATCAAACCCGTGTCGCACCTTTCTTGAAAGGCGTGACGCGGTTTCGGGACTTGTCCATGCACAACACAGCGCCATGCTGCCTAGTCGATGTGTTGGCTGCAACTGCAGCCAATGGGGATGATGGCCAACCTCTGCAAGGCTGGCACAGAGGGCACGGGCCCGAGGTTCGCGCATGCACAGAGAGCAACAGAGCAGAATCTGTGGTCCTTAGTGGCTCGGCGTGGCAGCATTTTTGCTGCGCTGGGTAGCAGAGTGCCCACTGTGGGCAGCGTATTCATTGGACTTGGCGGATTTTTCAAGGAAGTGTGGATTCTCCACGTGACGCGGGCGGGAATCACTGATGGCATGCGAAATTTCTAGGGATCTTGCGTGCCCCGTGGAAATCTGTTTCAGGGTTCGTACCCGATGTACTCTGAAAACTCAGTATTGGGTTAGCGTGAACTCTGATTTTTTCAGGATCCCTAAAGTCTAAGTCTGAATCGATCAGGATTGGGAAAATGCCTTATCTGGAAATTCAGGTTTAGCCAAAAAACCGGTCTGAGATTTCAGACTAATCAGAGTAAATAGTCTGATAAAGTCAGCCCTGGATTTGAGATATTATAGTCAGCTCGAGCTTGCTCATGCCGTGGCTCTTTATGCTGTGCAGGAGCCAGAGTTATGATTCCGAAATCGAAACAAAGCAAAATATATATTGGCCTATACATCAATGGTAAAGCACATCAACTGTGTCATGAAAACATGGAATCCGGAAGCAAACCCGACAGGACAAACACGCCTATCACACCAAACCCTTGTGGCCCCCCATCCACACCAGGTACGACAGTCACAGACACCTCCACTCTCCCTCTCGGCACCACTCCCGGCAACACCTGCCCTCCCACAACCCTCGTCGGCGATCTCCACGCCTCCGAATTCAACAAAATCGGCCCAATCCTTCCACCTTCCCCACCACTTCCCCCACCTTTCCCACCCCCACCCCCCCATGCCACGTGCACCAAACCAGGCCCAAGATCCTGCGCCTTCAGAAATAGAAACGCCAGCCGCCCTCCGGCCCTGAGATTCACATCAATGGCGAAGGTGAGAGTGGCATTGGGGGAGTGAGATACGAACGCCTCCTTGTCGCGGGAGATGGGGTACAGCATCCACCCGGGCTGGGTGGACTTCAAAGAGACCTGCCCGCTGATGGCTTTAAGTTTGGGGCACCGGTGCTTCTGTCGGTAGTCGCCCCAGTTGGTGGAGAAGCACTGCCCTCGCTCTGGCCTCATGTGCGCCCATGGCTGAATTTGACCGGTTGAAGCTTGCTCCTGCTGCTGCTCCTTCTGTTCCTCTTCTAGGAATTGTTCGATGTCGCGAGGGGTGAGCGCCAGCAGAGATGACACTAGATGCCGTACCACCACCGCCGCTGCCAGCTCGTGTCCAAACTGCACCATGTGCACCCGGTCGGCACCCAGCACCGTTTCCACAGATACTTCCAAAAGTGGCCGCCCGCCTACTGCTGCATTTCCCGCTTCAGAGTTACTAGCAGCAGCAACAGTGGCAGCAGCAGCGGCAGTGGCAGCAGCAGCTGCAGGTGTTTGGCCAGGTGGGTAGAGCGAACCAAGTTCATGACCCGAGCAACCTATTAGCCGGTTGACACCAAGGCTTGAGAGCTCCGCTTCTGCTGCCCCTCCGGCCTCTCCTGCCTCACCAACGTCCCCTGCCAACCCTGTCACCCCCCACCCCTCCCTGGCATAGCACGCATGCACACAAGCAGTGCAGGGCCGCGAGAAGGGCCGGTCGCCTGACGGGGGGCACCTGCCCTTGGGCAGCGTGCACTCCCTCTCACACGCCCCCGCCACCAGCCCCACCCATGCTGACCTCACTGCCGCACCACTCCCACTCCCCACACCACCACCACTACTTACACCACCAGCACCACCGGCATCATTCCCACTGCTCCCTGCGCTGCTCCCCTCGCTATTGTCACACCGGGGAACGGACGGCGGGCGCCAGAACGGGGTGAGCGCACGGGCCATACTCAGCGTGGGCACGGCAGCAGCGGCAGCAGCGGCAGCAGCGTAGTCAGAGGAGGAGGGCGTGGGGATGGGGTCACAGCCAGCAGAGCCCCTGGCGGGGCCGCTGTCCTGCGAGAAGGCGGAGGAGCAGCCGAAGAGGTTGAGGTTGAGCAGGGCGGGGCGGGAGGGCCATAAAGAGAGTTGTCGCAAGAGGAGGGTAGAGTCCCACTGCTCTCCTACATTTATGTTGAACTCTGTTATCACTATGCCTGTTATCGGGAATGAAAGAGGGTCAGGGAACAGCGGGACGGACAGAGGTCAAAGAAGGGGATGCGGTGGCAGCCGCAGCACACCACCTAGTAGTGCCCCTGGTGGGGCCGCTGCTCTGCGAGAAGGAGGAGGAGCAGCCCAATAGGTTGAGGTTGAGGAGAGCGGGGCCGGAGGGCCATAAGGAGAGCTGTAGTAAGAGGAAGTCCCACTGCTCGTCCACGTTTATGTTGAATTCGGTAATTACTATGCCTGTTTTTGGGAAGGGAACGGGTATCAGGGAACAGCGGGACAGGACGAGGCTAAACAAGGGGATGGGGTGACACACCACACAGTAGTGCCCCTGGCGGGGCCGCTCTCCTGCGAGAAGGAGGAGCAGCCGAGGAGGTTGAGGTTGATCAGAGCGGAGTGGGAGGGCCATGCGGAGAGCTGGCGCAGGAGGAGATTGGAGTCCCACGCAGATGTTGTACTCCGATATCACTAGGCCTGTTGGGGGGAGAGCGAGGTTTGATGCAACTGGACAGGGTGAAGGAAGCAAAAGGGAGGGAACAAAGCGGATAATAAGAGCAGAGCCCTTTTGAGTTTACTCAAAAAGTCTTACGAAATGACTTTTAATTCCACTCAAATCCAAGAGCCGGGTTCAATGCAATTGGAGAGGGCGAAGGAGGCACAAGGGAGGGAACAAGGAGGATAATAAGAGCGGATTCCCACTGCTCGCCCACGTTAATGTTGAACTCGGTTGTTACTATGCCTGGGGTGGGTTGGCGAGTTGGAGAAAGGGAGAAGGTGGGTGGAGAGTGGAGAGCGGGTAAATGGGTTGGTGACACAGTTGCGGAGGTGAGGGAAGGCAGACAGAGGGGTGGTATGCGATTTGGATAGAAGGAATACCTGGGTTGTCTCCCAGGAAGGAAGGGAGGCTGAGGGCAGGGCAGATGGCCCCGCATGCCCTGACAGCCGAGTTGGTGACGTAGTTGCGGAGATGAGGGAAGGCGGTCACTGCGAAGGGCATGAGGAGGTCCGGCCAGGGGTGACGCACCCTGGGGGGTGACAGGGGAAACAGAAAGCAGAAGCAGGAGAGAAAAAGGCAGGGTAATCAAGCATATGAGAGACACTGGGAAGTAGAGTGCAATAGCAGGTAGTAAAGAGAAGCAAAGACAGGGGAATCAATCAACTGTAAGCTAACTAACCGCCTAGCCAATCTGGGCGTGCCACTCACTGAGAGCTTCTGCTGCTGAAGCCTCTCGTTATAGAACCCCCCAGTGTGACTATATGGAGGCCGAAGGGGGCATTCTTCCCCTTCTCCACGTGCCCCTGGTTGGCCCGCACCTGCCACTCTGCTGTCAGGGCTAGTAGGCGCAGGAAAACTCGCTTGAGAGAATCCAATCCCTGCCCAGATTGAGTTGCTGCTGCTGCTGCTGCTGCTGCTGCCTCTGCAGGGGGGCATGGGCAAGGGAAGGAAGAGGGGTGCAATGAGTGCCCCTGTCCCTCCCCTGGTTGGCCCGCATGCGTTGCTCCGCTCTTTGAAGGGGAATAACATAGATGGTGCGCATCTGAAGAAAATCCCTCAAGCAGCCCGTTGAAACAGCAGCTGACGAAATACCTGAAGCAGCCTGTTGAAACAGCATCTGACGAAATACCTGAAGCAGCCTTGGCAGCAGCATCGGGGTCAGCCGCACCAACAGCAGCATCCGCAGCAGCAGCAGCAATAACATCAGCAGGCAGCCACAGCGCCTCTGCTGCCATGCTCTCCACCACGCCCTTGCGGAACAAACGCACAGTGGGGCCCATTAACTCTCCCGCTGTCCAGGCCTGGAAGGGGGAGATTAAGACGACATGAAGAAGGCTGAGTATCCGATGTAAGACGGAGCCAGCCGGCAGCATCAGCGCCTCTGCTGCCATATTTTCGATCACACCCATTCAAAACAAGTTGTGGGACCCCCCCAAGGTGCAGAAGAACGGTGTTCTGTATAAAACGGTCGTTAAAACCCGCATCCCAAATTAGGGGCGGCAGCCTTCAAACGCACTGCGTTTGAAATTTGCGTTTTCGTGGGTGCAGGGAGGTGCAGGGAGGTGCAGGGAGGTGCAGGGAGGTAACTAGCGTGAGTGACTCCCGTCACTCAGGCGTGCTGTTCAAGTTCAGCGCGGAGGTTATTCTGGAACACTGAGTGCCCGGCGTTTTTTGTCCGTCCATTGTTTTGCAGATTCCCATCGGACGGTGCGAAATCCAAACTTACCCCCAGTCAATACGGAATCTAATCGCAGCCGTCAAATCGCGTTTTAGCAAATCTGATGGCCCACGAACTACTTCCAATTCGCGAGCTGAAACACCCTTGCGATTTTTTAGCGTGTTTCGTGCAACCTCAGCTCAACGTTCATACGCAGTGCGTTTGAATAATTTGGGAGGCGGGTTTTAAATACGACTAAAACGGCTGAAGGTGCTGTTTTGCGACTGGTGCAAAACAACAGTCATTTTATAGGGTCGCTTTTTTCTTACCGTCGTAAAAATCGGTGGTTCGTTTCATATCGAACCACGCGAGGTGGAGTATACAAGACTCGTTTGCCAAATCGGATGTTGGGTTTTTGGCCAAGCCAATGAGGAGGACGACTAGGGCGAGGAGGAGGACGACGACTAAGGTGACGAGGAGAGGGACTATTAGGAGGAGGAATAGAGCCGGAGTAGGATGACTAGGAGGAGAGGAGGAGAACTAGGAGGGCGAAGGGAGGAATAGTAGCCACTAGACCAAAAAGGACAATGAAAGGAGGTCTAAAAGGATGCAGAGCAGATGGTGTTTTAGATGCATGTACATTGTCGTTGCCACCAGGACCTCTATTTACCCGCGGTTTCTTTCAAGCTCAAAAAAAAAAAAAAAAAAACGTTGACAAAAAACGGCAAAATTAGCATAAATCTGCCGTATAAAACGACCCTATAAAACGGACCGTTAATCCGTTTTTGCACCTTGGACCCACCACCAGCCCGCATGATGTCCATGCCTGGGGGCAAGATAGCGCACCATCTATGTTATTCCCCTTCTCCATGTTATTTGTCATTCCTCGTCTGGCTTCTCCCTATCACTAACCTCCGTTGCGACATTTCCATCTCATGCCATTCAACCATACTAGCTCCATTATCTCGGCCATTTACCTCCTATTGATACCTAACCCTGTTCTCACTTACACCTGTTGCCTATGACATGTCACCCATCCTGCACCCCCCTTTGTGCTGTTGCTGTGATGACGACGTGAAAAATTATGGGACCAGACCAAACTGCCACCTGCACAATTTAAAAAACTTTGCTGACAATCGAAGGTAGTTTGGCTTTCAAGTGAATATATTATTACAATATATCCTATATCTATAGCATGTAGTATGTTAGTGTTGTAGTGTAGATGAAGGTTTGGGTTGGTTGGGTCAACCAACCCTTTACCCCAATTCTCGAGAGTTCTAATAATGTTGGCCAACCCAACACTATTGGCCCTCCTATAATTGGTGGTCAACCTTCCAAACCATTATTGGTTCACCCAATAATGGTTGGGTTGGTCAAACCCTCTTTGACCTAGGATTGGCTACCGAGGTACAAAGCCCTGTATCCTCCCTCTCTCAATCCATCGACTCAACTTCTTTCATGCTATCACAGCATTTCGATCCCCTCCTGTGAACATTTCCCCGCTCCACCTCACGCTCCTCATTATCACATCCTACGCGCTAGCCTGGTTCACTCCCCTGAACCTTTTTTTTTCCTGCGCCCTCCTCCAGTCCCTCACGGCGTCCTTATTCCTCCAAGCGGAATTCCTGCCCGTCCTGAAATTTCGACATTTCGGACGGTGCGCCCGCCCGACGCGGCCAATTCGCCCATCGCCCTCCTCCCTCGCAGCCTTGCGCTGCCTTTCGTCGCGGCGTTTTCGCCCGATGCCCCTCCACTCCCTCGTCGCGGCGCTCGCGTCATTTCGTCGCGGCGGTACTCCGCTCGACGCCCCTCCCTTCCCTTGTCACAGCGCTCGCGCATCCTTGTCGCGGCAACATTCTGCCCGACGCTCCTCCTGGCCCTCGTCGCGGCGGCCTATTGCCCGACGCCCCCTCCCTCTGCGCGCCCCTCGCCGCATCGTCGCGGCTATTTCCGCCTGCTGGACGCCCGCCGCACACCTCCTCGCCCGACACCTCCGTCACGCGCAGTCCGTCGCGCCACCTCCGCGCCTTCGCCCGTCGCACTCGCGAAAGCCGTACGCAGCGGCGGCGCCCGTGGGGATTACTGCGACGACCCCGCCGCGCCATCTGCCGTCGCGTCACCAGCAACTCGGGGCGGCGCTGGTCCCCTTCAACACCTCCCGCTGCAGCTGCACCAGCCGTGCTGTCAGCAGCGACATTGGCAGCCGCAACTGGTGGCTGTACCAGCCACGACAGTGGCAGCTGCATCAGCGGCAGCAGCACAGCACGAGGGCTGCAGAGCCGGCGGCAACAGCAGCATCGACGGCAGCAGCAACAGCAGCAGCAGCGGCAGCAGCATCGGCAGCAGCAGCAGCCGCATCGGCGGCAGCAGCATCGGCAGCAGCAGCAGCGGCATCAGCGGCAGCAGCAGCGGCAGCAGCAGCAACGCCCCACCATGGCGACTGACAGTGTCAACGTTGACACAAGCTCCATCGACAAACTCGAGCTTGTCAACACCACGACGGCGGTCAACTGGCATTCATTCTCCCGCAAACTGTACATGCTTCTCCGCTCCACTTGGGTCAGTGGCTACCGCCTCTCCACGGTAGTCCTCCGCGAGCCTGCGGGCCTCCAGCCCACCGAACCTGTCTCGCCTGGCGACCCCCCCCCTGCTGCTCCCCCTCCGCCTGGGCCCGCCCCTGCAGCACCTGCTCCTCCCCTCTCTCACGACGACCCGCACACCTTCGCCACTCGCATTGCCACCTACGCCACCTCCCGAGACACCTACACCCGCAACCTCGATGCTCACACCGCCCTGGTCGCCGAGTATGATGCGGCCCTAGCCCTTGTTCAAAAGCACACAGATGCTATGGTCACTCACGCCACAGCTGTTGCTACCTTCGATGCCCGCAGTGAGGCATGGTGCACTACGGATATGAAGGCAATCGGCATCATCTTAGCCTGCCTTCCCCACTCCCTCAAACGTGCGCTGGACCCGGCCTCCTCCTGGGCCCTTTGGACCGAGCTCCAGGCGACCTATGATCGCCAAGACCTCGCCTCCCTCCATGCCCTCTACCGCGAGTTTCACTCCATCACACTCGACACCTGCACCGGTGCCACTGACTTCACTCGTCGTCCCAGTGGCACTGCTGCTCGCCTCACCAAACGCGGGGCTCGTGTCGACCCCTCCCTCCTTAACTGGCGCCTGATGGATGGCCTCACAGAAGCATATGCTGTTCACAAAATTGCCTACACCCAACTCCTTTCCCTCCATCTCCCCACCGCAGATATCATCACGTGGATTCTTGCAACTGAGAATGAAATCAACCCCACCGACTCCCCTTCCCTCAACTACACCCAGTCTCGGGATGGGCGTGGGGGACGTGGTGGGCGCGGCGGATGAGGAGGACGCGGCGGTCACGCCACCCCTGCTGCTACCTCCCCTTCTCCCATTCGCTCACCCTCCACTGGCACACTTCCTCCTTGCCCTTACCTCATCCGATATGGTTCCCAGACCGGAAAACGCTGCCAGCAAACTACCCACACAGCTGATGCATGCTTCAAGGCACTCACCGATGAGTGGTTTGCCCGCGGTAACACCGGCTCTCCCCCACGCTGGTCCACCATCCATCCTCGTCCCACCCTACAAGACGTCCGCAATCTCCCCGCCTATCAGCCATCCACCACGCAGCTCCATCAAACACTCACCTCCTATCTCCCGCCTCATCTTCACCACCACCTCAACCTCCTCTCCACGCAACAGCAGCAGCCGCCGCAGCCACAGCAGCAGCAGCAGCATCAGCAGCAGCCGCGCAGTCTCAGCAGCAGCAAAAATCTGCACTCAACACCTTGACGGCCTTCCCGTCCTCCAGCTTCATTGGCCAGCTAAGTGCTCCGACCGTCTCTGATTCCATGTATGCCTCATCTATCAATGAAAATTTATTCCAGTACACTGTGCCACACAAAACTCCCCACCTTGCAACTCTCTTCTCCACCCTTGAGTTCGCACTTGACAGTGGAGCCACAGAATCTGCTCTGAAAGACTCTGGCATCCTTCACTCCCTTCCCGCTCCCTCCTCTGTCCTTGGAGCAGACTCTAGCTTTCGCTTACCATGCCACAACACTTCCAACCTCCCTTGTCCTTTTTTTCCCACCGGAACAGTAACTGGCCTCCACATACCTACCCTTCGTATCAATCTTCTCTCTCAACGTGCCCTCCAACAAGCAGGAATCACCACCATCTACCCTGGCCACTCAACCCACTGTGATCTTTACACCGCAGCCACTGGCCACCACATCTCTCGCATCCACATCTGCCCCATCACTAAAATGTACACCTATCGCATCCCACGCACCACCTCCTGTCTTGCCACCACACGTTCCACAACAACCACCCCTCCCATTCTCCCCCCTACCCCCTCCCCCGTCCCCGACCCCATCCCCCCTTCCCCAAATCCACCACCCCCCTCCTCCTGCCACTGTCGCTCCCTCACTCACCCAGCCATCCACTGGCACCCGTCTTGGCCATCCCAACTTTGTCACCCTCCGATCCACCATCTCCAATCGCCTCCTGCACGGTCTTCCTCTCACCCTCCCTCCCCTCCCTCCCTCCCCAGCCCCCCCTTGCACCACCTGCGTCCATGCCCAACTCAAACAACAACCCCACCCAAGCAACCCTTCCTATGCATCCGCACCCCTTGACCTCGTGCACCTTGACCTTTGGGGACCAAACCCACAGCCTACTCGCATGGGCCACCGCTACCTCCTCGTCATCGTTGATGACCACAGCCGTTACTCCACTGTCTCCCTCCTCCGCTCCAAAGCTCAGGCCCCAGCGGCCATCACCGCTTGGGCAACCCAAGCACACACTCACTTTCGCCGCACTATCAGTCGCTTCCACTCCGACGGTGGGGGCGAATTCCTCAACCAGCACCTTTCCTCCGCCATACCCACACCCTACCCCATTCCCCCCAGGAGAATGGCGTTGCAGAAAGCCGCGTCCGGGAAATCACTAAGATGGCACGCTGCCTCCTCGTCCACGCTGCATGCTCCCCATCTCTGTGGGGATATGCTCTCCTTCATGCAGCCTATCTCGTTAACCTTTATCCCCATCCCCTCCAACCCACCTCCACTCCCACTGAGCTATGGACGTCCACCAAACCAGACGCCTCACATCTTCGCATCTGGGGCACCTAAGCCCTAGTTCTCATCCCCCCCCCTGACCGCAATCGTGCCACTGGCAAACTCACCTCCAAAGCCCTTCCATGTCTCTATCTTGGCCACAACCCCTCCTCTCCCGACTACCTCTTCCTCCACCCCCCCTCAGGCCGTCTCATTCGCAGTCGAGACGTTGTCTTCGACGAATCCACTACCTACTACACCTCCCCCCCTCTCGTTGATCCCCTCCCCCAGATCCCCCGTCCCCTACTCTGGACGGATGCCATCTCCCCACCCCTCCTTCCTCCCCCTCCGCCCCACCCTCCTCCTCCTCCGCCTGCTCCCCCACCTCCTCCACCCCCACCATCCTCCTCTGGCGATATCTTCGATCCCGCCCCCTGCCCACCCTCCCCATCCCACTCCTCAGCCCTCCCTTCCCCACACGCTGCCCCTCCGCTTCCCCCCGACCCCCCTCCCGCAGACCCTGACTCACCTGAGCCATATCACTCACTCCAACGTCACACTCGTTCCCTCGATCCCATCCTTGGGACACCTGCACCCCTTGCCATGCGCCTTACCACCCATCTCTTTCCCACGTTTTCCTCCCCCTCCGCTGCTCCCCCCACCAGCATTCTCACCTGTCCATGGGGCGCAGTAGGTGGCCAAGTCTACCGACGCGCAGCCCTCCACCATAGCACTCGACCTCCAACACTCCGCGTAGCAGAGCAGCCGAACAACAGCGCAGCAGAGAAGCAGAGCAACAGAGCGGCCGAGCAACAACGCAGCCGAGCAGCGAACCAGCAGAGCAGCCGAACAGCAGCACTTACACCTCCGTGTCTCCTCGAAGATACTCATGAAGAACTCCTCAATCTTCACATACATCACCCCACCCTAGCTCCAGTCACTCTGGACTTTGGAGGATCCCCAGTCTTCGCTTTCTCTGGCACTTCCGCAATTTCGTGCCTGGAAACTTCCGTGAAGCCACCACCTGTCCTGATGCCCGCCACTGGTGGGCGGCCATCTGGAAAGAGTGTGAAGCGTTCATACGCAATGCCTCCTTCGTCGATGTCCCACGACCCGCCAACAAAAACGTCGTCCAAGGGAAGTGGGTCTTCCGAGTCAAGCAGCTTCCAGGGGAAACGCCCGTCTACAAAGCTCGCTACGTCGCCAAGGGATTCACTCAGACCTGGGGTACCGACTACTGGGACACTTTTTCCCCCACGGTAAACTTCCCACCATCCGCGCCATCCTCGACATGGCGGCTCGCCTCAACATGGTCATCCATTGTGTCGCACGATTTGACATAACAAATGTGTTATGAAAATCGTGGGACAACTCGGAAGGTTTAAGCAAAAGGGTCGGAGAAAAAGGGGTGTACATAGTTATGGTGATAATTGGGGTGTACAGTGATGGGTGTTCAGATCGAGGTTGGGAAGCAGAATGGCGGTACGACAGTTGGCGAGAGAGGCAGGCTGGAAGGGTACAGCTGGGCGGGTCAAGAGCAGTTAAGGGAGGAGGCATGCAGGAAGGCAGGAGGCGGCGTCGATGGCAAAGTGACTTGGAGCCATCACGGTGGAGAAAAACCCGAAACGGACAGCGGCTGATCCCAAGGGAGGGAGGGGTGCGCGCTCCGGAGTGGATCTGCTAGGAGGTAGCCACAAAACTGCGAGTGCGTAGTTGTGTAGCTACTTCTGTTTGTTCTCTCGTTATCATAGGAAAGCGTGTATGCTCTGTGAGTAGTGGATTCATTCAGGAGCAAAGCTAGAGCTATGTAGAGAGGCCAGACAGGGGCGGTCGGGGATTAAGAAAGCTTCCTTGAAGCGTTTCTTACAAACAGAAGTCTCGATGGCGGGCATGTCGCTGCGGAGCGGAGCGCAATTGCCCGGGGTAGAGGATCCGTTGAGTGGGGAAGGTGAAGATCCTCACGTCGATACGAGGGAAGAATCGGCTGCTGACGAACCCGATATCGATCGCGGACAGGTGACCGAGGGACAGCGCGGGCCAAGGCCCGTCGAGCAAGGAAGCGAGGAGGAGCCTCGTGATTCCATCGGCTTCGCGATGCGCGCTGATCGCCGTGCAAGCGGGCGAATTCCTCCGGCTGGGCAGGGTGCTAACGCGAGGCCGGCAGCGGAAGTGGCAAGCGCGGGCAGCCTGCCGCGAGCAGGAAGCTCGCGACGATCGCTCTGGGATGAGGGAGCCAGGTACCGCTATACTAGCTTGCCGAAGGTGGAAGTGCCGGCACGATTCACCGGAGACCAGGAAACCGGACCCCGCTTCAAAACGTATGCGATGCATGTCCGAAGTGAGAAGTATTGCTGGGAGCTGGACGGATTGGATCTCCGCCATTTCTTCCGCTCGTTAGGGAACACGTTGGCGGGCGAAGCCGAAGCGTTCTTCCTGGAGGTCCGCGACACCCTGCTGGAGGAGGAAGAGAGGGATGCCTCAGGAAGGGTACGCCGCGATGCGGAGGGGGGGTGATGAAGCTGCTCGATCCGACGGAGCAGTTCTTGGCAGAGCTGCAGGTTCACTTCCCAACCCAGACGCCGGCGCGACTGCGTGAGTTCGAGCAGCTGAGGAGGGCACCGCGAGAATCGCTCCTCACTTACTACCGCCGAGTGGACCAGCTAGCCGAGGATATCGGCTGCAACGAGCCCAGGATCGTGGTGGCGAAATTCTTGGATGGCTTGTCGGGAGATCTGGCCCGGACGACTAGAGACTGAACGTATGACCTGGGTCCCAACGCGACGCTTAGACAGGCGTATGAGATTGCATGGCGGCATGAACAGTCGCTGAGCCTTTACGACCTGGGGAGGAAGGCGGACCGCAGACCCAGGGAACGCGAGAGGAAGGGAGTCACTTGGGGCGGCGCGATGATGGCTGGGAGTGAAGGGGACGATGAAGAGAAGAGAGAGAGTAAGGAGTTCAGAGGGAAACCACGGAGGGCAAGGAGCGCCACTCCGCCCCCAGGAGAGGAACCCGTGTGCTATAAGTGTCGTGAGCCCGGACACTTTAAGCGAGACTGCCCTAAGCTCCAGACGTGTACATACTGTCAGCGCAGGGGTCATGCGGCGGATAATTGCTACACTAAGCAGAGGGAGGAAGGAAGCCAAGGGGGACGCCGCAGTCGCATCGAAGCTTTGGAAGAGGAGCTAAAGCGGCTGAAGGCAGCAGAGGGGGAGGAGGGAGAAGAGGAAGGTCGAGAGAGCCTCATGGCGCGAAGTCCTGTCGACTCTGAGGACGAGGGCGAGGGGGAGCCGCTCTTCATGGCCTCCGACGGCGGACGGAGCCGTGAGGAGTTGGGGCTACGCAGTGGGGGAGTGGATGGAACGCGTACCAGAACCCCGGGGAGGAGTGGGCCAAGGGCGCGAGTAGACCGCTCGGTGGAAAGGGCAGCCGAGGCCGTGGAGGAAGCGGTGCGACGGGCCAGAGGGAGTCATGAGCCGATGCGACACCCATTCGAGAGGATGGCAGCGCGGCCATGCGTGGTGGAGGCACTAGAAGGAGCAGTCGCGGTGGAAGGCAAGTACCCCGGAACAACCATTATTGACACGGGAGCCTCCCAGGTCCTGGTGGGGAGGCGCTTGGCGGAGCGCCTGGGGCTGCACCAAGCAGAGAATGTGACGCCTGAGGGGGTACGCATCCAGACAGCGGAGGGAGGAGTGGGCAAATGGCTCCCGAGGTCGCTGAGGCCACAAGAGGTCGTGCTGGCACCTGGATCCGAGGATGAGGCACGAATCAGAGTCCATTGCCTGGTCTCGGACTCAGACGACTATGACCTCCTACTCGGCATGGACCTCTTATACAAGGTTGGGGCTGTGGTGGATACCTGGGTGGAAAGGGTGCAGTATCAGCCACGATATTGGGATGCAGGGATGCAGAGAGACGAGCACACCGCCGCAATCCTGCCTGCCCGCTTTCTACGAGGGCGCCCCGAGTACAGGGAGCCAGCCAGCGAACGGGTACCAGAGCGGCGGTTCGAAGACGCCGGGGTGTACCTGGAAAAATCCGCAGAAAGAAGGAGATGGGAGGAAGCAGCAGGCTCCAACGTAGCGAGCTACAGAGAATCTAGGGGGCTGCTGGAGCCGACATACGATTTCGAGACGTTCAACAGACCAGTGACGTTGGTGGAGCTGTTCGGAGGGATTGGGCCGGGGTTAGCGGCCTGCATTCGCACGGGAGTTACAGTGCAGAGGTGGGTGTACGTGGAGAAGCAGGCAGAGGTCAGGCAGATGGCATACCACCATGCGCGCCTTCTGCATGAGCAGTATCCGGAACGCCTGCCGATCTCAGGGATTAGCAGGGCAGAGGCGGAGGCCGAAGCAGTACATGATGTAACGGCCATTACTGAGGAGACGGTGGAAAGCTGGGGGCAGGTGGACCTGTTGGTGGCGGGGTGGGAATGCCAGGGGCTGTCAAGGGCAGGCAAGGGACGAGGATTGGCGAATTCCCGGACGGCATTGTTTCATGAACTGATCCGGGTGATGAAGATGATCAAAAGGCGACAAGGACCCTTTTCGTACATAGTGGAGAACCTGGATGTAGCCGAGGACGAGAGGGCCCTAGTCAGGGAGGCTCATAAGCTGGTGACTAAGGAGCTGGGTCATGGAGTGGCCTGGGATGCAGTGCAGATGGGGTCCAAGGCCAGGAGAGTCCGCCGCTATTGGCAGAACATGATCCCAGAGCCGGTGCTAAGAGATCAGCTAGGCCGGATGCAGAGACCCGTGCCAAGACTAGTACAGGACATCCTAGAGCCAGGGAGGAGGCCAGCTCCGGTGACTACCCCAGACGCGCGGAATCAATTCCCATGCAATGAGATGGGGGCACCAAGGCAAGTCTGGCCCACGCTGGTTGCCACACCCGGTAGTTACGCATTCCGAATAGAAGAGGGGCAACCAGGGCCGGGCATGGTACAAGACATTGCCACGGGAGCCTGGGAGGAGCCGTGGGCAGTGGAGAGGGAGAGAGCCATGGGGTACCTGAGGAATGCGACAGCAGCACTTGGGGTATCGGAGGAGGCTCGGAGGAGAGCACTGGGAGGCGCGATGGACCAGCATGCACTGGTCTGGCTGTTATACCGGGCAGCGCAAAGACAAGAAGGGATGAGAGCCCAGCTGCTCATGATGTGGAGGTGGAGAGATATAGAGGAGATGCTAGACAAGGAACCAGAGAAGGCCTTCGAGACGGCAGAGGAATGGAGACAATGGAGAGGGCAGATGCAGGCCGAGAGGGAGTGCCGAGAGCAATTGCTAAATGCGAGAGGACTCAATCTAATGGCACGGCAAGGACCAGAGGGAGTGAGGATGCCCCAGGGGAACGGAGAGTCGATGGGAAGCGGAGAGGGAGACACACGACAAGCGGAGCCAGAAGGGCCAGGAGGAGGTGCTTGGAGCATGGGTGACGGGCTGAATGAGGAGCAGAAGAGGCAGATGCAGCAGGTGTTGGAGGGGGCACGGGGAGCTTTCGCATACTCCCTGCAGGAGCTGGGCAAGTGTAATAGGGCGGAGATGGCGATCGAGCTCCAGAGTGAAGCACCAGTATATCAGCGAAAGAGGCGCCTTAGCCCGGGGGACAGAGACATAGCAGTAGAGAAATGTAGAGAACTGCTAGAAGCCGGTTTGATTCGAGAGTCTACGTCGGAGTACGCAGCAGCGACTGTAGTGGCGGCAAGGAAGGACCTGACGGGAGAAATGCTGGCTAGAAGGATGTGCGGAGACTAGAGGGGGCTAAACCAAATCACCAAGAGCGACAGATACCCGATGCCGATGGCCGAAGAAATATTTGACAAGCTGGCGGAGAGTAGGATTTACTCCACTCTGGATTTGAGGCAGGGCTTTAATCAGATACATATAAGAGAGGAGGATAAACCGAAGACCGCATTTCATGGGCCGGACCGTCTCTACGAATGGAATTTCATGCCGTTCGGGCTGAAAAACGCCTCGGCAAAGTTCCAGAGGGTGATTGACCAGGTACTGCAGAACGTCCCTTGCGCCTTGTGCTACATCGACGACGTAGTCATACATAGCAAAGATGGGGAGCAGCACGTGAAGGATGTAGCTAAGACGCTAGAGGCCTTGCAGGAGGCCGGACTGACATGCCACCCGGGGAAATGCTCCTTCGGGGTGACAACAGTGGCGTACCTGGGCTTCCAGGTGGGAGAAGGAGGACTATCGGTCCAGCAGGCCAAGGTAGAAGTCGTGGATCCCCTGAAAGCCCCCACTGACCGTAGCACTCTTCGGGCGCAGTTGGGGTTTCTCAACTATTACCGGAAGTTCGTCCCGAACTTTAGCAAGACAGCAAAGCCCCTCAATATGCTGCTGAGAGAGGATACGGCGTGGAGCTGGGGAAGAGAGCAGGAGGAGGCGTGGCGGACACTGAAGGAGGCTGTGAAAACGGCCCCCATGCTGAAGCTGCCCGACCCTGAGGAACCGTTTTGGCTGTATACGGACTGGAGCAGCAGCGGCATGGGGGCGGTGTTGTGCCAGAAGGAAAAGGGGACAGAGAGGGTGGTAGCTTATGCCAGCCGGTCATGCAGCCCAGCGGAGAGCAACTACAGTTCATACGAGGGAGAAGGGCTGGCGGCGGTGTGGGCAGTGGAGCTGTTTCGATCATATCTGCAGGGGCGAAGATTTACCCTAGTAACCGACCATCAGCCACTGCTCTGGCTGATGAGGAACCAAACCCTGAAGGGCAGAAATGCGCGTTGGGCGATGCGCTTGCAGGAGTTCGACTTTGAGGTAAAGCATAGGCCCGGCAAAACCTTGCAGCACGTGGATGGGCTGTCGCGGCAAGACAAAAGGGAAGTGGAAAAGGAGCAGGTGACGGCCGAGATCAGTCTGGCCCATCTGGCAGTAGCCGTGGAAAAGGAGGGTTGGCTGAGAAGGGCACCCGAGCTCAAGGGAAGCAGAGAAATATGGGAGGATGCACCAGTGCTAGATTGGGTGAGAGGATTGGGAGCGGACGGGGCAGAGGTCTCGGAGAGGGTGCGGGCACGAGGCGTGCACTACCGCTGGCTGGATAACCAGTTGCAGTTAGTAACAGAGGACGGCTGGCGTATTGTGCCAAGACCAGAAGAACGAGGGGAGCAAATCACCAAGATTCATACAAAGCTGGGGCACTACGGAGTAGAGCGGACCACGCAACAATTACAGACCATGTACTGGTGGAATGGGATGCGGTCAGAAGTAAAAGCAGCAGTGAGGCAGTGTGAGCCGTGCAAGAGGAGTAAGGTGCAGCTGGGAGGCATACGGAGGAACCTGCAGTCACTACCAATCGGTCAGATAGGGTACCGATGGTCCCTTGATATAGCAGGAGAACTACCACTCTCCCGCCGGGGTAAGCAATACGTGTTGGTAATGATCGAGCACACTAGCAAGTGGCTGGAAGTGGCTGCATTGGCGCGGAAGACCGCCGCGGGAGTTGCAGAGGCATTCGTGCAGCAAGTACTTACTAGGTTCGGGGCATGTGGAGAAGTGTTGACAGACCAAGGTACCGAATTCGCTGGAGAATTTGATGCAGTGCTGAAAGAAGTGGGGATAACTCACCGTCGGACCTCGAGGTATCATCCGCAAGCGGATGGCTTAACTGAACGGATGGTACAGACTTTGAAGAAGGGCTTGCGGAAGTACTGTGAAGAGGAGGAGAGAAGGGACTGGGATCTGCAGCTCCCATGGGTGGCCGCAGGGTATCGCTTCAGCAAGCAGCAAGCCCTGAGAAACTACTCCCCATACTTCCTGCTCTTCGGGAAGGAACCGATCCTGCCAGTAGACGCCCCGCGCATCATGATGGAGCCCATGGCGACAAATGACCCACGACAATGGGCGGCAGTGGCAGCAGCGCGCGCTAGTTACCTGCGATCAGTACTGCCAGCGGCACTAGAGAACCTAGAGGTAGCACAGCTACGGGATGCCAGACGCTATAACCAGAGGCAACAGGGGACCAAGGAAGGCAGGGGGCGACCACAGACGCTCCAGGTGGGAGATGAGGTGTA